CGGCGGCGCTCCCACCGAGGGTTCGGATCCCATGTGGAGATTGGTTCTCGCTCACTGGCTGAGTGCGGTGCGGGCGCAACACCGAGGGTTGCGATCCCGTTACCGGCCAGTAAAAAAGACAAAAAGGAAAAAAAAAAAAAGTGCCTGAAATTCAAGTATGAATAACTGAGTTACAGCAGGTGCTGTAACACCAAGGTCCAGGGTTCAATCCCTGCACCAGCCAGCTGCCACAAACCAAAATATGAGTAACTGAGAAATTCTGTTTATCAGTCAATATTCTATGTTTCCTTCCCAGTAAAACTACAAACAGGACACTAATTCTTGTTAATGTATTTCCTAACATTATGCTTTGTTTTTGTCCACATGGAGCTACTGCCAGAGGTAAAACCCATCATAGTGCAAATGGAGAGAAATCTGGCAATTCTGACATCAGATGGCCAAATTTCTACCTTGCTGTCTATGATATTTAGGCTGTTTAGATCAGATCTCATCTCACAGATGGGAAAGCAAGAGAGGTTGGCAGCCAAGGCCGAGGCCAGTAAGGCAGGGGCAGAGGGCTTACTTATGACCACGAGTAAGTGGAAGTTTCTGCCACTTAATCATCACACAGCAGCTGATCTAGACTAGCCCTGCCCAACAGAACTTTCTGCAGTGGCAGAAATGCTCCTCAACTCTACATTGTCCAGTACAGGAGCCCTCAGCAACGTGGGGCTCTGAGTACCTGAAATGTGGTACTGTGACCAAGAAACTGAATTTTAAATTTATTTAATTTTAATTTATGTTAAAAAAAAATAATATGTAGCTGGTGCCTACGATATTGGACAGTGTAGGTCTAGACCAAAAGGTCTGATGGGCTTCATGTGGTAACAACTAAAGCCATCACCGCAATAAAAATAAGGACAGATGAGAACGGCCCAGGAAAGAAAACCACCTACCGTCTCCGTCTTCTCCATAGGCCAGGAAAGGCGGGATGGTGATGGTGCGCTTTTCCCCCACACACATCCCCAGCAGTCCTTTGTCCATTCCAGGAATCAGCCAGCCAATTCCCACATATGTGTCATATGTTTTCATGCGATTGTGACTGAAAACCAGTGAGAGAGGGAAAAGTTCCATGTCATGAGGATGTTTCCGACTCATCACTTGGTGGGGTTTTCGGTGCCCAAATTTCAGCTAGACAATGAGCCCGTACCCGTCCCTAGACACAGGCATTTATGGATCTTTGCTCCACACAAAGCAGAAGTCCTCAAGTTTAGGAAGAAATGAAAAGCATATTTATACCACCGTGATGGACAAAAACAGCCAGCTATTCCACTAATCAAACACTCTAGTGAGAGGAAATCTCAAAGGTTCCCTGTTCTCCAGCTCAGCCCCAAACCTCTCTGTAGCTTCATAAACACTCATCTTTCCCCTCCTCCTTCCATGGGAAAACTATAAAAACAAACCAAAACATGCACGAGCCCACTTTAAAGATGAGATCTCAAAATACTGTTAAGTCAGATAAACGTTGCTCTTAGGTTTTTCTAAGATATATTAATATTTTGACTCTGGCGCCATTGAACATGGAACATTAATCAAACGTCTTAAGTAGAGGACTTCAGTACTGGTGAAAGTTTTCCCCATGGGCATAAAAAGCAGGTAAGACAGAAGGAACTAAGGGGCATTACACTGATACTGCCACCAACGGCAGGACTTACCTCGAATCAAACAGCGTCCCATCCAAAAACGTTCCATTGTAGTGGTACCTTACAAAGTCAGACACCTGGATGGTTCGAGGGCAACTGGAGGGCTTAAAATAAGTGTGAATCTGAACCTGGTCTTCAGAATTCCAAATATCCATCAGAAGCACATCAAAATGAAGCACTGAATTTGGGGGGATTACACCAGCTAGAAATTAAAGAGAGTTCACACTGAGAAACTGCTGCCTTTCAGGCTGGACCAATAAACCCCCAGGACGCTGCCAACGTGAATGAATGCCGCGAGAACTCAAGCCTGTCCCTGGTGTACGATTCCAAACGACCCATTCTTCCTCTGATTTCCTCCAAATGAAATTGAAAGAATAGAGGAAAAACAAAATGTTCCCTTCATCAAGGGTATCTTTCAATACACCTGTGTTAATGATGTGTCTCATAAATAGATATGAATTCTTTCATATCTAGAAGAAATAAACCTAACATGGAAATTTTAGCTGTGTGTGTGTTCACTGCTTCTCATCTTCCCCAACCTAAAGCTTCCAAAAGCCTCCAGTGTGCTTGCCTAAACAGGCTGCAAATGTTCTGGTTGTTTTTACAGATGTGTTTATAAATATGAAACAAAAACTTA